GGGGGGGGGATACACGACATTGCAGTCAAAACAACTACTCATGTACCCCGTGGCTTGGCCCTAGCCTGTGCCTTTTCCTTCTTCTCCAGCTTCTGTTTCTTCTTCTTCTCCTCTTGCTTCTCTTCCAGCTTGCGCTTGTGCGCCGCCTTCTCCGCCTCCGTCTTGGGGAGCGTCTTGAAGAACCCGTCCAGCCGGCTTTGCTGTGTTCCCTTGACGTTCTTCTCCAACCGCGCCGCGCCGTTCCGCACCCGGTCCTCCGAGAAACCCTTCTCCACCACGAGGTACTTCACGAGCCCCTCCGTGTCCGGCTTCTCCCACTTGAAGTCGCAGTCGGGGTGGTCTGCCGGCCGCACGTCCGGGTTGAGGAAGAGTTCCCGGGCGTCGGCGAATGGCCAGTCGTCGGGCAGCGTGTATTTTTGCTTGGGGTCGTTCTTGATGTAGTCCACTACGCCTTCGAGCGTCTTGTGTTCGCGGATCAGCTTCAATGCTGTGCTTGGGCCGACTTTGGGGATGGGGTCGAGGTAGTCGCAGCCGAGTAGTATGCACAGATCGACGAACTATATTGGGGCCTCGTTAGACATAGTCCCAGCAGGCCGAAAAAAAAAAACCCGGAAGAAAGCGAAAGAAAGAAAGAAAGAAATAAGAGAATCAGGGAAAAGAAAGAGGAAAAAGGAAACATACCTGTTTGCGATCCATTCCCATTCCCTCTAGGACTTTGGACAAGTGAATCTCCTGAATGGGCTCCTTGCGTTGCTCGCTGTAGGTAAGGTGCCGGAGCAAGATGGGCGAGTCAAAAGTCAAGGTATCCATGTCCTCGCTGGCGGCGGCGTAGACCTTGTTGGCGCGGGCCAGGACGGCGCACTGGGCCTCGGCCTCGGTGGGGGCGATGATGTACGGGATGCCCATGAGCTTGAGGAGCTGCTGGCACTCGGCGTTGTGCTGGCGCGTGACGCGGACGGTGCGGCGCGAGAACTTCTCGACGTCCTCGGCCGTGCCGGTCTCCTTGGCCTCCTCCAGGTCCTCGCGGGCCTCCTGCTTGCGCTGGAACCGCTTCGCCAGCTCGCCCGACTTGAGCTTCGGGGGCGCGCCGTCGAAGACGTAGAGCGGCTTGATGCCGTTGTCGACCATGCGGAGGGTGCGGTAGAACATGCCCATCAGGTGGGAGGTCGTCTCGCCCGACTCGTTCATCAGCTGCTGGCCGTCGGAGCGCACGGCGATGAGGAAGGAGTAAATGCTCATGGAGGCGTCGATGGCCACTTTGCGGCCGAATTGGTTCTTGATCTCGCCTTCTTTGATGGCGTCGGGTGCCTCCTCCTTGAGGACTTGGTAGAGGCCTTTGATGCCCATGGTGATGCGGATGTGCGGATTGGCCGATGTTTGTGGCTTCGTGCACCTTGGGGCAGATTGACCTCAGAGCAAAAGGATCGGTTTTCTGCTGTGGAACCTAGGGCAGGAGATATTTCAGGAAGAGACAAAATTATCTGTAATTTTTGCCTTTTTGGGCTTTGGCAGCTGGTGGTGGTTATAGAAAGTCGTCAGTTGACGCAGTGGCACATGGAAGAAAGAGGGCGGGCAAGCTTGACGCGCTGGAAGCAGCTTCCCGCGACTTCACATTAAAGTGTGGACATTATGACGCGAGAGACACGCGAGACAACCCCACGAGAGTGGGGCCTTCCTCGGGGTTTAGTGACCTTAAGGCTTCCATCCGGTCGCAGCTGGTGACAGAGAATTTCTTTGACTGGTACCGAATACACGTGACCCCGCTCCACCCGCTCCACCCCCTCCACCCGTTCTCTCTTAATATCTCGGCCTTCACTCTGGCGCCCAACATTCCTCATTCCTCGAGTCGTCTTCCCCGATTCTTCGAACTGAGGATATGAAGAGGAACGCCAGCTTTCAGAAGATGGAAGGAACGCTTATATTCCATCAATCGGCATTACCATATGATGTGTCTGGAAACGAAATAGATATGAACCGGCCGAACGAACGCTGCCTTCTAGCCGAAAGAATGATCGACTCCGTATGATCGACGGGTTCTCGAAGGATGATGGAACTTTGTCGCTGGAGTCGAGTCTCTACTCGGGAATCTTTTAACGAAACGTCCGGTCGTAGCGCTTCTGAGCTGCTGACTAGGCAGCCCTAACGGACCCTAATGAGGGAGGGGGTTTGCGATGATTGCCAAGATGGTGACGATATGAATAATGACGCTGATCTACTATACTCTATCCGTAGTTCCGTCCTCCCTACCAAACAGACAAACGGTTGTCTCTGGTCCATCTTTTTCACTGGATGTGAATCCCACCCCGGCCACGAAAAAAAAAAAAAAAAAGCGCCCAGTCAAATACAGCCACCAGGACGGATTGCCACATTTCCCTCCCCTTCTGCATATGTGCTTCGACCCGACGCACCCCGACTCCCCGAGTCCCCGGTCTAGAACTCTGTGACGTACACGCATATGTAGGCGAGCGGCGAGGATCGATAATTAAGTGTCAGCCCCGACGTTGGCGCACCGAAGAATTTCCCACTTCATTTTCCACAACACCGTAATATGGGGATTTGCTCGTCTACCGACTGTCCTTCGGCGTAGTGAGAGTTAAGGCTGACATTCCTACCCACGTGTGATCAGGCATCCCTAACCTAGCTTCTAGGTGGTGAAACCACAACGATGGAGTCCATAGAACACGTTCACGTTACTCTGCTAGACAGTCTTCGGAACGTCAGTGAGGTCTCCTGTGACACGCTTGATGTTCAAGGTAAAACATGAATTGCTCCCCGAGAAGCCGATAAACGCAAGCCCGCTCTGTTTAAAGCTGATGAGCTGACTCTTTTCAGTTGCCAAGGATCTGGGTCCTTTTAGGGATGTGACCTCTAACCAGGTAATTCCGGCCCGGCCACGACCAGAGACAATCTCATGGGGCATCCCGCAACTCAACCCGAGATTATCATCATTCCTCTCGCTAACTGAAGAACCCTCAAGGCCATCGCCCTTGGCGAGTTGACCAAGACTACTCCCGAAGGCAAACTTCAATATGAGGAGCTTCTTCGACGGGCTACGGAGGATGCCAGGACTTGGCTTCATGCCGCCTGGCCTGAGGTCGACCTCGCGACTCTGGCCGTTGAAGTCATGGTACGTACGCCTTTGAACTTATTGTATTCTTTTTACTGTATTTTCTTTCTCCCCCCTCCTTTATCTCCTTTCTCCCCTTGCAACGCCCGCCCCTTTCCGGTCTTAAGAGTTGGCCTGGGCTGACAGACAATGCGATAAAGATGGTCCGCCTGGTTATCCAGTTCGCCCCCTACGTCACCCACTACATGCATGTCCAGACAAATCCAAAGTGGGCGTACTCAACTGAGAAGACGCGACGCAACGCTCAGAGTATGACAGTCACAGTCACAAGCCAGGACTTCGCATCTCCGTTCTTATGAAGTTATGAGGGTGATTAGGAAGCAGCTAACCATGCGAGCTGCGCCTTGTCGCCTGTAGGGATCGTCGAGATTTTCAAGAAGATCGACCCCAGCATCAAAACCAAGAGGGTATGCATCAAGATCCCTGCCACTTGGGAGGGCATCGCGGCCTGCAGGGAACTCGAGGCAGGGGAAGGATCACGGTCACCTCCAATCGCGACACTGGCAACCACCCTGTTCTGCATGGAACAGGCCGTACTCGCTGCCCATGCCGGATGTACCTACATTGCCCCTTATGTGAACGAACTGAAAGTCCACTTTGAGCCTGGGTACGTATCAACTTGGACCCTCCCTTCCCAGGGACCCCCTATTCTCTATTTTTTTGACGATCAACCCCCCCCCCCCCCAAAAAAAAAAAAAAAAGAGAAATAAAAAGACACTGGCTAAGAGCACCATGGGATGGGGACGTTAGATACGTCGACCAACACAAGGCCTTCAACTTGACGCGTCTCGCCCAACGACACTACGTCGACAAGTCGCACCGCACGCAGGTCTTGGCAGCCAGTCTCACCTCCGTGGACGAGGTGATGCAGCTAGCCGGCATCCAGCACGTCACCGTATCCCCGCACCTCCTCCAGGGTCTGGCAGCAGAGCCGACGGCAGACTGGGACGGCAAGCTCGGGGCGTTCTTTGCGGCGGACCCCCAGGAAAGGTGGGACGCTGGAGGCTTTGCGACGTGGTGCGGCGACGAGAGCGAGTACCGGATTGCCTTTACGCGGAGCGGCAGGGGGAAAGCGGAAGAGAAATTGGTACAGGCCATCAATATCTTTTCTGATAAGCAGGATGAGCTGGAGGCGCTTGCCCGTCGGTTTTTGTAATGTGGCCGTCACACTCAAGACGCGAGGGAAGGGTTCCCTCGACATGTGGAGGAAAAATTCAACATCTTGCCCGTGGTAGCCAGTTTATCTGTTCACAAAAAGAACTTGAAATCAGAGCTAGAGGATTGCGTGTCAACATTACCGCTACGCTTGCGAGGAGACTTTGCTTAGGGGATCATGTTGGGCATCCATTCAAGTGACTGTCTGTGTTCCGGGGGACGAGGTGTTCCCCCCAGCCCCTATCATTTCTTGTCCCGAATATCCATCCCCCTTTGAACCCATCGAGCCCATCCCCTCCAGCATCCTCCCTCCCTCAAAGCCCCCCACAGCCCGGGAAATATAGGCGTGGCTCGCCCCATGTTGGCAAAATGGTGGATAACTCAATGAGTGAAGTTCTTGCAGTTCTTTCGAGACAGGAGGCGAATCTGTTTATTCGGTCGGTTCTAGATCAAATGTTGTTAGCAGAGGATAAGGGGGGAATAAACTTACCTGCCTGGTTTGGTGTGCCTTGTTTGCATTAGTCTGGTTCTTCGTGAGATTGTCAGGGGACTCCTGAGCTGTCTTAGAGAGTCAGAGGCGCCTTTTCCCATGTTGTATGGAGCTGGGTTAGTGAAGTCCTTGCAACTCTTTTAAGACGGGATAGAAGGCGAAATTGTTTCTTCGGTTGGTTCTGGTCCCTGGATCAAGGGTCGTTAGCAGAGAGTAAGGGAAGAAATAAACTCACCGGTTTAGTTTGCCTTATAAATATCGATCTAGTCCTTCGTGGAATGACCAGAGGAGTCGAGGACCGCTGAACTGCCTTGGAGAGTCAGAATCACCTTCCTAGCCCCATGTTCGAAAGAGCGGGTTTAGTGAAGACCTTGGGATTGTTTCATGGCGGGCGGAGGGCGAATTTGTTTCTGCGGTAGCTTCTAGATCAAAGGCTGTTAGCAGAGGAGGGGGGAAGGAATGAACTTACGTGACTGGCTTGTCTTATCAGTGTCGGCCTAGTTCTTCGTAGGCATTTGATGGGAATTGTCAGAGGAATCCTGACCTGTCCGAAAGAGCTGGATGAGTGAAGTCGTCGGAATTCTTTCAAGACGGGCGGAGGGTGAATTTGTTTCTTCGGTAGCTTCTAGCTTAAAGCTCGTTAGCAGAGGATAAAGGGGAGATGAACTCACCTGGCTGGTTTTGTCCGTCTTATTGGCATTGGCCCAGTCCTTCGTGGGACGGTCAGGGGTTTCGAAACATGAAAGAGGACGGGAACATCCTAGATGTTAGTTATCTCCATATCGTTCCATTGTGGATGGGAAGCCAGTGAAGTTGTTGAAGCATCCCTGATCGGGGGCATGCAAAAGGGTGATCGTCTTCGTCTCGTTCCTGATAGATAGGCGTGAAGCTGAAAATACGTGAAGGGCCTGCTAACCTGTCAGCATGATACAAGGGGAGAAGACTTACATGGACAGCCTGGATATTGTGTCTTCGAAGATCTTGTTCTTCGGAGGGGCTTTGCTGAGTTGTCATGGTGTTCTGATAGTCAAGATTGGGAGTTCATGGCAAGATGTCGTATAACTTATATCTGACAGTGTATAGTCGATCCTTTGTCAAGTACAGCTTTGCTCGTTTCGACCGAGTATCACCAGCCACTTTCCCCTGGATTGTTCTCATTCATGGCACGAAACAAACAAAGACGTTCATCAACTTTCCGGGCCTCTATTGTTGACTACGGAGTCTTGCGCCTTTGACCCTTTGTTTGCCGCAATACGATTGTACGAGACAAGGGCCATGACATCCCCTTATGTTCTGGGCAGCATATTTTCTGCCGCAGCCACTTGGCAAAGAAGCTTAACAAGTGAAGACAATTGACATCAAGCCATCTGGGCAGTGCAGGACCCGTCTTTGACAGTCGACTCCTTGTTTCCTCAACATTTAACCCTGTTGGACACAGCCAGTAGCTTCATATTAGAGATGAAGATTATAAGATACGAATACTCTAAGATGAAACCCCTTGTATTCGATAGAGCCAGTGAACTCTATAGGATAAAGAAGGAAGAAATTAAAACTAAGAGGAAGAAAAGAGTATCAACCTGACAAAAGGCGGGTGGAAAAGAAGTCGAAATCAGACACGGCGTCGGGAATGCTCTTTCAGGCTTAATATTATGAAAGTACGTGACGTTTTACGCGAATTCTACGAGAGTATACACAAAATCATCTTTCTTGTATCTATATGGTTAGAAGGAAACCAGACGCTCAATGCCAGGCGTATAGGTCGTATTACTGAACGCCTTTTTAATCATGAATCTCATCAGTCATAACATCAGTGGCACGGCCAGAAGGGGGTCACCTCCATGAACGTTATCAAAGCATTTATAAAGTCTTTCCCATTCGTCAGTCATCAGTCCGTTTCCTCCACCGTCGAGTAGCCTAATCTCCCTATTTCCTGTTTGTCCCCTCTCGTTTCACCCGAGAGATCTATTTAATAGGTGCCGGAACAGCCGACAAAGGCGTTACCCGGTGCGCCAGTGTGGGTAATCTGGCCAGCAATATCGCAGGAGTTCCTGTTGATTATGACACGGTCAGGGCCAGGGGCGCCTTCACGGTTCGATTCTCGTTAGCACGTCCCAATGTCCATCCTGTCGCAAGTTCTTCGCCACCTACCGCCGTTGTACACGCTGCTGGTGCGGAGAGGGAAGAGCTGATAAGGACCGCTGATGGGGAATCGGAAGCCCTCATAGTTGTTATAGGCGTGAGGGTACGTCGAGCCACCAGCTGTGGTGCCGGCTCGGATGTGGATGCAGGCAGCATTACGCGCAGCGTTGATCTGGTATGTCGAGTAGTAGGTGCTGCCGCAGGTGGTGGAGCGCTTCTCGAGCTCGCCGGCAGGAGCGGCCTGGGCGACGACGGCCAGCAGGGAGACAAAGAGGGCAGACAGCTGCATTTTGGATAAATGTTATGGGGAGAGAGTGTGGGAGAGAGAGAGAAAGAGAGGCGACTCAGGCAAGCTATGGCTGAAACTTGGGCTGATGACTCCTGGTCTCTCTGGATTCTCAACAGCAACAATCTCCGAGACTTTATACCCGCGAACTGACCATTCTTAATTTCTTGTATGCGGAACAGAGGTTAATGTCCCTTGACTTTAAGGTCCCCCCCCTCACGGGAGACATTCTCGTGCCGTGCCACATCTTCCAAGTTCCATCTCCTCACACCCATAGCCCATATCAGAGAAACCCAGTGGACGAATAGACTTATACGGTAGCTGAGCGTGTTCGCTTGGTGCGGTTTCCTCCATGATCCCCCCCTCCCCAGAGCGGAAAAGGAAGGTCCCCCGCGATCCTTATCGAGTTATCACCGCATGTTCAGGGACGAGACTCCGGTTGGCTGGACAGGTGGCTGACCAGAAACAAGAGAATGGTTCCTAAACCCGCAATATTATTAATTCGAGCGCTGACTGCCGGGGATAGATCTTAGATACGCTCCTCCAAGGTGTCGATCAATCGACAAAAGAAGCTAGCCTGGTCCCGTCCGCTGGCCCCAAGGATGCTTGGCTCCCGATCTCCTGACAATCTGTTCTTGGGTTGTTTCGTCTCTTTTGGGGGTTATGGATAATGGATCGGGAGGGGCCGCCCGGTCATCGATCGCAGGGAGAGGGGGTGGGGTGCGTTCTCTGGATTCAATGACACCCTTTTAATGCAGGTCGTTCATCGTATCGTCGTTGCACTGCAGACTCGTGAACGAAGCAAATCGACTCGGCATCGTCGGAATAGACATCCCACGGTTTCTCTTCGCTGATGTTATAGGCTGCCACCTCTTTGGACGAACCATCTTTGGAAATTGAACCTTTTTGCTTTTCTATTTTTCTTCTTGCGATTATAAGTAAGAAAGACGTCCTCTCGGGGTAGATATCGACGATCGTATTGGACTTCACCCTGATTAAATCAGCCGGATTTATGCCCAAACGGAACGGCCAGCAGTATCGAGTATCTCTTCGAACTCCATCTAAGACAAAAATGGCTCACGTATAAGGTAGACAGACCTCTTGTGGTTAATACTTTACGGAGTATTTTACCCTAACTCTGGCCCCTTTTCCGTCTCCCTCCTTTTATTTTCCTGCCCTCTTACCACAACAATAGACAGAACTATATCTGGTGAAAGCTGACTTGATAGAAATGCTAGCAGAGTTTCTTGAACTCGGGCACAACGTCGTTGCACTCCATATTACGCGTTCTACCTTAGGGAGCTTTAAGGTTATCTGAAGCAAGTGGATATAGTCACTCATCCAGTGGCTCCGTCTAGCGGCACAGTCGGAAGCATAATAACGTCTGTTCTATGCTTAATCGCGCATCTTGATCACGCTTGTAAGTGCTTTCGATTATATATTATATCTCTTAGAGTAAGCAACTTCTGCTATTGCTCTTCCAACTTTCTCTGTGAGTCGAAATCTGAATCCATACGTAGAAGATTAAGTTCTGTAGTTCCAAATGTGACTTAGCAAGGGTTGACATCTCTATGACACTAGCATTAGACGTTATACTCTAGTAATCATGGAGTTTCTCTGAGAGATATCAAGGATTAGCATTTATAAGTTATAACCTCAACTAGGATTCTGATGAACTGCATCGTGGAAGAAGCACCGCCGGCCAAATAGCAAAAGCACCCAGCACTACTCAACCTCAGAGACTCAGACTACAAATCACCGGTTACAGCTTCTGTCCGTCGGATATTTATTGAGCCATTCTTAGGATAGATATATACATATACCTCTATTTACGATATGGGTCCTGAGATGACCACTTCAGTAAAGTACAAGAGTCCTGTGACAATACTTGGCCGAGACGAAACCTCGGAGGCTGGAGTACGTGAAGACTATAGAGAAAACTCGCCAAGAATAAGGTGCCCGAGTTGGACTAGACTTGGATTCCACGACATTGACACCGAACTTTGAAACGAACAATGAAATCGGCCGAGAAGAAGCATAAAGATGGTATAAAATCTCAAAGAAAGAAAAGCCACCATTCCTTGCTTATGTTTATGTCCATCCTTTCATCAACCGCTTTGTTCATCTACGTAGACTCCTCGCCCCATGAAGGAAGGCCTGAAATAGTAAAACACAACTTCGTTTTACTCCTTTGTTAATCCTCGACAATGCAAAGACCAACTCTTTGTGATAGACAATCTAAGCTCTCTGTCCTAGCTATATTCTCGAATCGTCTATCCAACAGTAAGCAACATGCCAGAAATGTGACAAGGTGGGAACCAATCCAGACCATCCTGAACAAGACACCAACACCAAAGAAACCCCGAAATGTGTCACTGCATCTGGAGAGACAACCCCTGCCGGGCCTGCGGCATCTAATTCGACCGCAAGTTGACCGCATGCAGAAGACGCCCTGCTGTAACGACATCGCGAAGCTCACAAAGTTACGACAGTGAGAAACACGAAAATGCTTCTCCCAGTACAGCACCGTCATGCGGCAGGACCATCGAGATGAAGATCGACGATAGTTTCCAATGTCAGACTTGTGCGATAGGTCGGGCACAAAGCTACGAGATTGGAAAACGACCGAGAAGGAGTATCATGAGGGGCTACAAGGAAGACTTTGTGTATGAACTTTGTGTATGATGATGATGAAGATGACTTGGACTGTGAGCCTTGATGGGATGTGAGGAATATAAAGTCTGAACGAGAGGAACGTCGCCCATGCTAGAGTTTTCAGCATAGAAACGAAACATTGTATGCGATGCATGGAGGCAGCAGAAGTGAGGTTTCCGGCAAAAGGTAATGCAAGTCACATAGGAACGGCTCTTAGATTATTGGATTAGACCCTGAATTGTCCCCAAAACGGGTCGGAAAACACTCCTTCTTGTTCAATATTGGGTTTCCGATTTTGTCTAACTATCCACTGCACATCTATCTAGATACTCCTTTGTCAAGTGCGTAACTTGACCCTTCGTCGCACGCTCCGTACAAATTAATCCTCAATGCAGACGTCATCCGACTCGGTAGGCGCGGGCACATCGCTGGTGACGACGCTGCTGCTCACGGGGACGCTGGCGGTGGGGGTCGGGGTAGGCAGGCACGAGCAGGCCGAGCTGACACGGGAGATGATGTTCTCGCCGCAAGCCTTCTGAGCGTAAGTAGGGACGTTGTTGACGTCGGCCTCCCAGCCGTCGAGGTAGCCGGCGCAGAACTCCTGGGACTCCTCGAGGCGGCCGTTAATGGAGCTGGCGCGGAGAGCGCGGAGGCAGTTATCGGCGTTGCAGCTCTTAGGCTTGCAGGACTCGCGGCGGGTGACCTTCACGAGGTAGGCGCCACGCTCGATAGTGTTAATAAAGGCGTAGCCCGAAGCGAAGTTGGCATAGGAAGCCCAGCTGCCGGAGAAGACGGCGGTACCACCACCGGGCTCGGCATCGTCCTCGGGGTAGACATCGAAGAAGGCGACCTCGCAGACGGAGTCGCCGGTGGGGTCCTCGGGGATGGAGGAGACGTCGTAGACGCGGAGACCAGCGCCGTAGTTGGCCTGGTACAGGAGGCCGTCGTGAGGGTTGATGTACTGGTTATGGTCGATGCCGCGCGTGGTAGCCTTGTAGAGACCGGTCTGCTTGGGGTTCTCGAGGTCGCTGATGTCCCAGATATAGGTGACGGGGAATTGGTCGGCACCCGGGCCAGTCTGGTCAACCTCATCGTACCTGTCGCCATGTTAGAAACACGAGATACAAATCGAAGATATGATTCGTTTCGAGGACGTACTCATCATCCATAAGAAGGTACTGCTGCCACTCGGGGTCAAGGACCCAGCCCTGGTGGGTGTAAGTGGCTCCCTCGTACGAGGTGATGGAAATGATCGACGAGTTGGCCTTGTCCGTGACATCGTAGCTGATAGCTTGTTAGCGATGAGGAAGCAAAAGATCCGGCAAAAGCGATGAATGCTTACATGGTCAGCGTATCCTCGTTGTAGCCGTAGCAAATATCACGGCCGACATAGCGGTCATCAGGGCCGCGGTAGATGAGGCATTGGACCTGTTTGGGTTAGTCGAAAGTCTTTTGTGAAACATATTGGACATCGATTGCAGGTCTTACATCGTGGACATAGCCGTCCTGGGAGTTGCAGCCGAGTCTGGTGGGGTTTGAGGGGTCGGTGAGATCGAAGAAGACCAGACCACCGAGGCAGTCCTGGTTACGGGGCCGGGCACCAACGGCGATGCCATAGCCCGCCTCCTCGTTGACCGCGACGTTATGGGAAGCGCCGAGAGGGAGGTCGCCGAAGTGACCAGCAAGGTCCTCTTCGTTGGTGAACTGGTAGGGGGCATTGGCAGGGTCGAGATCAAGGAGCTACAAGGTGAGATATCGGTTAGTATGAAGAAGGGGTAGCAATAAATAAACGCCAAGCTAAGCTCACCTTACGAAGATCGAAGATCTGAACACCGTGGCCCTCAAGCTCGGAGCCGATGAGCATATAGTGCTTGTAAGAACGGATCTCCTTCCAGAGAGCACGAGCAGAGACCCGGAAGTAGGACGGGAGGAAACCGAGGTTCAGGAGGCGACCCTCGGGCAGGATCTCGAGGAAGGCGGTGCCGTCATACATGCCGTTGGCGACGAACTCACGGCCCGACTCGGGGTCGGTCCACCCCCAGGTGGAGGAACCGGTGCGGAGAGCGGCGTCGGAACCAGGCGAGCCGAGCTCGGAGTGGTTGATAAAGTCGTACAGGTCGATGTTCTTGCAGCGGAAGGTGTGGAGGGGGTCACCCGGGACGGCCTCGGCCTTACCGTTGACGCACTTGGTGTAGTTGAGGCGGGGCCAGGCGGCGGAGTTGAGCAGACCGGCCTCCTCCTCGGCCTTCCACCAGGCCATCTTCTTCTCGATGATCTCGTGGTGGCGGACACCGCTATCGTAGAGCTCTATAGTCGCGTTGTATTAGCATGGCTCCTTGCAGGTGAAGTCCGCTGGACTGGTTGAGACTGCAGATCCCCGGGGGGGGGGGGGGGGAGGGAATAACAGAAGGCACACGGCATACCGGCAGCCCTGGCTTCGTCCTTGGGAAGCTCCTTCGCCATGGCGACGGAGGCGGCGGACAAGGCCGCGCCGGCGAGTGCGTTGTAGCGCATGGTAGCTCTGTTGCTTGGGCTCGAGAAAGTTGATCGACAGCTGTGTGTTCAAGCTTCAAGACGAGACACCGGAATGGGAAAGCAAGCAGAGGGCACTCGACTGGACAGGTCGTGAGGGAGCCAGCTGCGAAGATCTGCAATGATGGTCCTCCGTAGGGTATTTATGATGAGGACGGCAGCGTGGCAGCGTGGCAGACAGCTCCTGTCTCTAGTGCGACCAGGCCCATGAATCCATGATCATGATGATCCATCCATGATCCATCCATGATCCATCCATGTTTGCCCCTCCGTCCGCGGCCCGGGGCACCCCTGTCAGTGGTCCAGAGAACGGGGGAAACAATAGCTCCAATGAGTTCCATGGTATCTGAATGGCTGGCGTCTGTTGGGTGCTCGATGTAAATTTGCTATACGAAGGTGCATTTGTGGTGGTTAAGCTGGTGAAGATGCAGAGTCTGGAGAGGGGGAAAATGGCGTCAATTCGCTGCTCATGGTGGAGTCATGCATGCCTTCCTTTTTGGGCCTGGTTGTGGAGCTTCTTTCCCTAGTCTTTTAGTGGGTCCACGCTCTAACTCCGGAAGTGTTGAATTGACGGGAGTGTGCTTGCAGGGAGCGTTGATTCAGGAAATATATGATTGTATTGTCTATAAAAGAGAAAGAAAAAGGGGGCGGGTGTACGTGTCCTAAATATATCTACCACCTTCTAAGCGAGGATAGTGGGGCACCTTTAACTAATAGAAGAGCACTATACTATGGCTTATATAATAGAATATAATATACCTCCTAATTATTACGCCGTGATTAGCGGAACGATTACTTAGCCTAACCTTAACCTAGCCTTTTTTTTAACATTAAAATAGCCTTAAAGGGTTATATAATACCCTTAATATCGAGTTAAAAGGCAGGAATAAAAGCTGTAAAATAATAAAAGTAATAATAATAGTAGTAAATAATAAAGGAAAAGTGCTATTAATAGTAATAGTAAATACGTGATTGTAGGGCTTTCCGTAGATAAATTAAAGACGTTATGCCGGCGTTTTAGAGCTTTTGGATCCTCCCTCTTATAACCCTTTGTTCCGTTGTTTTCCGAGGATTTAACGATTTAAACTAAATTTTCCGAATTTTCTATTAACAGTAATAAAAATAATAATAATAGCGATATAGTGAGTATCGGAGCTTTATTTTTAGTGGCGCGTGCTAATTAGTAGCTTTGTTTTAGGCTCCTCTTACTCTATCTACCGTTACCTATACCGCGGCCGCTAAGAAAGCTTCGGCTAATAGTATAAGAAGAATAAGGGTAAGGCCGGCACTAAGAAGGGTGCTTTTATAAGTTATTCCGGCGCGTTAGTCTACGATATCCCTGCTTTATTCTAGGCTAACTCCTTAAAAGACTACTAAGGGCAGTGGAAATAATAATAATAAGGATACCGCTAATGATTTTATGCCGGTTCTATTCGATCCTCCTTATTTAGAGTGCGTTAAGGGTATTTATTTTGGTAAATAGCGCTTTTTAACTACTGTGTTTCCGTTCCTGGCCGCTCCTATCGCTGCTAAAAGTGTAAGGATAGAAACTATATATACTACCCTCTATAAGTTCTTACCCCTTATCTAAGGCGTTTTACGATCGTGATTATATACTCTATTTCGTATTAGCTCGAAGATATATACGCTATTAAGCTTTACGACTGCTAACCTATACTTATAGTTTTTCTAGCCTTATATCGTTAGTTAAAATTCTATTTAACTGTATTGTAGTCCGAAAAATCGATAAAGACTCGGAGGACGATAATAAGAAGGTGCGTTTATCGCTTTATTTCTAAGGATAAAAGCTCTAACTAATTAGTCTCGCGCAGTTCTTCGCTAAGCTTAAATAAACGGTGAAGTTTATAATTAAGATAATAGAGGATAATAATAACGAGAAGTTTTTCCGTAAGAAAGAACTTAAGGGAGAGTTAAACTAGCTCCCCGCTATTACTTCGAGTAGTAATTCTACCTCCTAGCTCGCGGGAGTTATAATAGATATTTTACGGGAGAATAGTTTTATTATTACTCCTCCTACTAAAGGAAATAGCGTAAATATTACGTAGGATAGTGCTTAGGATAGCACTAATAGAGCTTAGTAACTTTACTAGTATACTCTGATATTATCTTTTTAGGGTTTTAGGATTTACTTTTAGGGTCTAGTATAGTAGTATAGTATTAAGATAACGATATACCCTTCTTTTTACTAAAGTAACTAAACCGCCGGCGCGTGGTGCGCTTAGGGCGCGGGAATTTCGACTTTAACTGCTTCTTTCTACCCCCTCCGTACACTAATTATATTAAGATATACTCGGAAGTTCTCGAATTTTTATCGTGGAAATACTTTTATTAATCCGTCCGCTGGTATTAAATTCGTAGTAAGATATACGACTCTGAATAATCCCTTTACGTTCTCCTACCGTACCTAAAAGCGCTATATATCTATATAGCGAAGCCTAATCTTAATCCTAAAGCTATTATCGACTACTAGGCGTATTATTTACGTGTTATCGTAGTGGATATCCTAAGGAGATTCTGGATTAAAGCGTATTTCGACGAAAGGACGCTTTAAACCTATTATTTCTTTCGCTACTTACTCTCAAGCGAGTAGCTCTACTTCGGTTATAGACGTTATTACCGTTACTTACTTTATTACTTTCTATATAACTAATTCACTAAATAGACTAATAAGGTAACTCTATAAAGATCTTTGTATATCTAAATCGTCTATAAAAGAGGCGTCGCTTATAATAACTATCACTTATAAACTAATACTCGATCCGTACTAAATCGAGAGGTCTTTTATTATAATTAAATAGCGGATAGCTTAGTCTACCGCCTTATAGTGCTCGGGAGAGGGGTTTCTAAGAAAGCGGGAGAGGATAAAGGCGGCGAATACTATATTAGGACGTATTATAACTACAATATAAAGTACTAATCCGACCTTTTCTTAATAAGATTTAATCTCTTAAGCGGTGGCTTTATCTTCTCTTTTCCGGTATTCTATAACCGGAATAGGGATTACTAGGTAGGTGTTTAGAGCGTTTAATTTAAACCTGGCTACGATCTTTTCGATATATAAGTCGTGGGAGAGGAAAACCTTATATCGAGGGCGATCTTAAGTAATCTTTTTTGATATTAATATTATTACTAACAATATCCTTAATATCTTTCGAGTATATCCTTCGTACTCGAACAAAGGATATCTTCCCCGCAAGCCTAGACCGTTCTCGTTCGAGTCAGTTTATCTGTTACGAGACAGACAAAGGATATAATGGATTACGATATTACTACGATATCGATATATATTACGATACTATTACGATATCGATCCTTTATAAAGAATAAAGGATATTAACCCGTTCCCTCGGTTCGGTTCTTCCTTTCTTTGTTCTTTATTCGGAATCCTTGATCCTTGATTAAAATCCCTTTTTCGATCCGAAGAAGAGACAATACGCGCGCAGAGATCCTACCTTATAATCCTATTATTACCTTCTTATTTTTCCACTGCTTTTCGTGACTTTCGTCCCTTCCATTTATCCGTTATCGTCAGATATCTTTAAAAGGTTATAAGCCCGGAAAAGCTCGACTGAAGTCTCGAAACAACGCATTCCTTAATTGCCTACGGTCGCAAGCCAAAAAGAGAATCCCCCGATTCCAAACAACAGTCCCTATTCCTATCCGACATTCCTCTTCATATACTACCGACACTACCTACCTGCCTATATACCTATATCTACGATCCTACGGTTCGATTGGTCGGTCGGCTTAGTCGTACGCTTATAAATCTATAAAATCTACAGAAGAATCATAAAAGCCTACGATTGCGTGAATTGAACAGGTGTACTGTTCTTTACGTACGGATACTATAACCACTATACTACGAGGGCTGTTCTAGTTATTAATACTAGAATATTCTTTATTGCCTATAAGTCTTTGGTTCTACCTAAGATTTTTATACCTGTGTGTTTTCCGACCGTGGAATCCTATATAAATATCGTGTTTTCTATACAGCCGTGAATACCCTCGCTCTGCGAAGACCCACTTCAGGATCCTCGCGAATAAAGTAATTCAACCGGCCCCACTTTGGATCCGCCGGAATAAAGGAATATTGTCTTTGGAAATAAAGGAATTCTGTTATCGGTATGTACGGGTATCGTTTTCTTTATCTACGAAGCTGTTTTTCCTCTTTCAGAATAAAGAACTGTATACCGGTTCTACTTTGGACCCGCACGAATAAAGGTATTACTGTGGTGACCACGTCTATGCTTAGAATAAAGAAAACGATAAAGAAAAGGACTTATTTTTCCTTATTTATAGTATAACTTCGTTAGTTCTTATCCAAAATAAATAAAATAAATACTGTTCAGGAGCTCTGAAGATGCCCGCGCAGGCTAAACTCAAGGATATTCCCTAAATAAATATAACCCCTTAAAATACTCATATAAATATAGGACGGGTAGTAGAAAAGATTAACAGGATTTTAGATAGTTTAATTAAATTAGATTTGAAATTTTGTATTGATAGTGGTGCTAGAGCACACGTTATAGTAAATAAATCACTCTTTTCTACATATAAAACTATTGGAAGTACTACTAGTTAGGGTGATGTAAATATAATAAAAATAACAGGTACTAGTAACTGTTATATTAAATTCAGGGATTCAGAAAGAATAATACTACTTTAGAACTGTTTATATATTCCCGAATTAATTATAAATATCATTAGCCTTCCCGTCCTAGATAAGAAGAAAATCTACGGCCTCACAAGAAATAACCAGCTTATTCTATTCCAAAATAACCAAAATAAAACCACCGACGTCTATACTAGAGCTGTTTTACATAACGGCCTCTACTAGGCTTCGGCACGGGCCCTAATGTACGGGGGGGTAATAGGGTCGTCGTTATGGTCCTTAAAGCCCCATAGTGCTA